CTCCAGATGTTCAACATTTTTAAGAAAATCACACGCTAGAATAGGAATTTCTAAGCCTAGAATCTCTCCTTACTCTGTACAAATAATACTGTTTTAAAAAGAGAAGCAAGACAAGGGGGAACTACAGCAAATTCCTTTTATGCTTCAATCATAAAAACAATACATCAGAAATGAAGACTCAATAGTTCAGCGTTAAAAATTTATTATTAAGATTTACTCTGGAAGAATCTACTAATTAAAACAAGTGATTTAAAAATCTCAGAGAAGTTAGAGAACTTGAAACACCCTGCCAATTAAAATAGAAAAAATAAATTAGAAATATGATTTTTAAAATATGATATGCATCAAACAACTTTGATGTTAGTTGTCATCTGAAAAGGATATGTTGTCTGTTTGAAATGGTATAAAGGTTAATGAAAGCCTATATTGAATTGTGAATTCTTTTTTTTTTACCCAATTTTATCATAGATTCGTGTTAAAGGAGTAAAACTTGGACAAAGGTTCCTGTTTCCTGAATATCTGTGCTGATAATGAAATCAGGGTTATACATTTCTTTTAAAAAGGTAAAATGACATTTTCTTATTAGTAGTTTACATTATGTAAATATGTATTACCTCTTATCAACCAATACATTTTGCTGGCCTAATGCACTTTTTTATTTAAATCCATTGTATTAAGATAATATTATTTTGTTAATTTAATTTTTCACAATGTAAATATAAATTAATTAAATTAATTTTATTAAGACTATGTTCAAGCTCAATGTAAACCAATAGTATTTCCTTTTATATTTATTATATACTTTATACTTAATTTCACTTTTTGAAAGATACCACTTGTAGGGTATTATATAAATTAAAGAGAAAGAAAATAGGCCAATATACTGTGGTTTTGATATTGTTGCATTACTTGAAGTAATTGCTCATAAAAAGACTTATCTATGAACTTGTAGGCAGTTAGACTCCTTGAAAGACATGTCAGAAAATATATAAATATTTTTACATACAATAAATACATAAAGTAATCCTATATTAATAATATGTGTTTGTATATTATATAACATGCATTTAAAGGATTATGCATACAGATATTGATATATGCTTATATATGTAAAAACATATTTGTTAAAAAGTATTTGATCAATTGAAGACACACTTCATAAATGTGATAGTAATTGAAATTATACTTTAATGGGTATATAAAATAATGTAAAGTGACCTTTACCAGAAAGCACTATTTAAGCAAAAATTTAATATGCTTTGGGAATAAATTAAATTCATGAAATGCTGCCTCAAACTCCTCATCATTTAGAACTGCACTATCAGGGTCTTTCAATATATTCAAATAAATGCAACTCCCTAAGAGAAAATATTCTACTTAAACTTTACTACATATGTGACCTATACATGTATATTTATAAGGAAGGAAAGTTATATGATTCCATCAGCTCAGCATCAGCTCTTTTTCACTATCCGTCAGGAAATTAGACTCTTTCTACTTAATCCTAGAGATGTGCTTATGTAAAGTTATTTTAGACTGATGGTAAGAAACATCGTATCAAGATATGGCCTGTGTGATTCAGTTGGTTGAGCTTAGTCCCATGCACTGAGAGATCTCCAGTTTGATTCCCTGTCAGGGCATATGCCTGGGTTTAGGATTTGATCCCCACTAGGGGGCGTGTAGGAGGCAGCTGATGGGTGTTACCTTCTCTCTCTCCCTCCCTCTTTTCCTCTTAAAAAAAATCAATAATAAAAAACATATTTGAAAAACATAGTATCGACCATAATATGCACTTCAATGTAACAGAAAAAAGCCAAAAGCAAATACATATTTGAAATGGTATTGAAATGAAAAAATATTTAACTGTATCTTCTACAAATGTCCATCATATTAAAAAGTTATTTGAGGACAGAAAGTTTTAGCATTGTCATCATATTTTGAAATGTGTACCAAATAAAAAGTTACTTTTTGATATTTTATGATACTTTTTGTCTTGTGATGACCTCTCCTGGTTGAGTTGTTCATTATCGTAGATGCATGCAGTTACCATTTTTCCCCTTTGAATGATTTCAGTATTAAGAATATAACTCTCATTCTTCTTCAGAAGAATTGTATATGAGTACAATTTTTCATGAAGTGTAAAAATGTAAATTTAAAGTACTGAACACATGAAGCTCATTGTAATCATTCAAGCCTATATCACTCATATTATTTAATTCATTTCCAGGATTTGAGGCAACTTTGGGTTTTGGTGACACAATTGAAATTAAAATGAAGTGAAAAGTCATCTTAATTAGGCCATTATACATTTTTAAACAATGAAATATATTAGCTCAATAAATATATTTTAATAATCAAACGTAACATTAATGATCTTAAAAGTAATGGTCTCTGCTCTTCCCTAGCTCCAATTTCTAACTAAGTTGGAAAAACTAAGAATATATTTCTGAAATAACAACTTTTCCATTCTTACCCAATGGCTGCATTTGTGCCAGGCTTGACATATGAAAAGTGTTTCAGATTCATCCATTACAACTAACATGTACAGAAAGTACATGAAATACAGAAGTCAGGAAAAACCCTGGTTTGAGCGCCTTCAATCAGTGAATGGAATAAACTTTCTTCATAATAAGTTATTTTCTTAGAAAAGTGGCAGTCAGTTCGATATCAACAGACCTTGAAGTAGAACCAAATTTCATCAAAATAATTTCCTCAGGATATAGTCAGATATTTATGTAAATATTAATGCCAAGCATCATATTTTCACAATTTCTGTTTCAATCTATTAAATTGACATAAAACATTAATAATATATCACTTTTTAGGTTTAATCTGTTTTTTGAAGAAAAAAACACATCTATAAAACGTTTTTCAAGTTCATTATAAACTTTGTCATTTAGTGGCTTCCATATCTTTCGGTGCAAGAAAAGCAAAGCAAATACTGTGTCTGGGAAAATATCTCAAAGCCAATGCTGGTTCATCATATGATATTGTTATGCAGTAGATTCTTTAGCACACCTGCTTAAGTCCTTTTCGATACTTACTCTTATTCATATGTACACCCCAGAATAAGAACATTGATATTAACACATAGAAACACAGGTGCATTAATGCATCCCAGGATCTTGTAAACAACAGAGACAGGACTACTTCCCATAGGATTAATTCTGGAAAACACTGAACTTTTTCTTTTTAATGGGAAACATTATTAAACTTTCATGATTACTGTTAAACACCTTGCTCATTCTCAGAAACAAGTCTGTGCGTATGAACTTTACCCTGAGATTGCTATAGGCGACCTTAGCAGTGTTTAACTCTTCCTGAACCAAGGAGCCACCATGCGCTTCCAAAGCAATGCAGAAGATGGGTGGAATCCTCTCTTTCTAACCTCATGAAAACATGAACGATTTTTTAAGCTGGCAAAAACACACTGAGATAAACACATGGACTAGCATCGTTTCTCTGAGAACTTGAAATCTGCTCGTTACTACATTACTGATGCTTTGCACTGACTGCCCCAAGTCCTAGACTGCATTACCTCAAACAGCCAAAGAACGCAAGCAATTTCCGTGAGAATACTGGATCCACTGTCTCCATTTTAGTAAGCAAGTACTTAGTGGTCATTAACTTCTTGGGGTGGGTGGGAGGGAGGTTTAAAGACAAGTCCATAGGTGTCCAAACGGCCCCAAATCTGCTCCTCTTTCAACCCCAAATACGTGCTCATGTAAGTGGAAACCATCAACAAAAATAAGAAACTTATTTCTGCCACAGTCGTCACTTTCCAGCCACTGACCGACCTCCAGAAACAAAATGCCATGAACTAACTTCCTCCACACACACAGACGCTCCGAAGTGGAGGAACAACTCCCGAGAAGCCGTCCTCTACACGCATCACTCTAACCCAGCAGTTGCCAACCCGTCTCCACGACCAGGCACAACTTTCCAGAAACATCTCCAGCGTCACCACCCTGGGCCCCGCACCCGGGAGCGCCGGGTTCGGAGTTTGCCTGCTGCAGTGGCTGCAAGTGCGTGACAGCGGAGACCCGCACCCAAACCGGGGCGAGCACCG